CTCCTTCCCTCCCTCCCTCCCTCCCTCCCTCCCTCTCTCTCTAAAATTCCAAGGAAAAAATATCCTCAGGTGAGAATTAACAAAATAACAACAAAAACCCTGTGTTAGGACCCATGAGTGTGATGTCAGTCTCCCTGTGTTGTCACTTTTTTTGACTGAGGGAGCGTCCATCACTGCCAGTGACTTCCATGGCCCAGGTCATGGCTTGAAGTGAAAGCACCACGGCTACAGGCAGCACGGACTGGAGGTCACATTGGGCCCAGGAGGTCAGAAACCTTGGGTGGAGGGTGACCCCTCCTGGGCTTGGTCAGGACCTACAGCTTGCGTATGGTCAGTCAGCAGCAGTCACTGCCACAGGTAGCCCAGCCCCTCCCCTGCTTCGGGACCCCGAAGCAGCTAGTTCTCAGGTTGGGTTGGCAGTGCCAGGGCCCAGGACGAGGTGTGACAATTTAGGATTGACACCTGGGCCTCCTCTCTAGTTGTGTACCTTTGCTTCAAGAACAACTTTACCAAGGGCCCTCTTACAAAAGGCCCCCAGCAGGCCCACCACCAGGGGCATTTCACACCGGCTGCCCTGTGATTCAGTCTTGGGCCTAAGCCGTCAGGCTCTAACCAGATGCAGGTGACGTTTAGCGATGGGATGAGCTGTTGAGGGCGTGGGTGGGGAGGCAGTTCCGTAAGACGGGGCTTGAGAAGATGGGAACATTACTCTTGGAATTTAATTGCCCCGCAGAGATAGATGTAGGATGTGTCTACAGGGGCACCGATGAAGAGCAGGTCCACCTGTGAGACCTCTGACCCCTGTGGCCCCCAGCGGCACCCAGAGGCCTGTGGTGAGCTTTGATGCCATTGGAGAGCACCTGCCAGAGACAGTTTTCAAGGAACAACTCTCCTCTGGTCCCCACTTGTTACACCGTCCACTGTTTAGTCACACCTCCTCCTGACCCTCCTCTTCTGTTGAGGCCCCTTGTGATTACACCGAGACCACGGGGTAACCCAGGATACGTTACCTATCTCGAGGTCCTTAATCCTTAATCAGATTTTCAGAGCCTCCTGCCACGTAAGGTAACGTTCACAGGTTCTGGGAATGAGGGTGGGCCCATCTTTGGGGGGCCATTATCCTGCTGGCTGCACCCACCTGTGCCTCTGCCCAGGCATCCTGCCTTTCCACCAGGATGCACCCTGCCAGCCTCCCACGCGGACACTGGGTTCCCTCCCCTCTGACCTCTCAGAGACTCTGCATCGTAAGTCTCGCCTCCCACTGGATCGTTCTCTGTCCTACAAACAAGCTGTAATACCTCCTGCTGCAAAAAGGGGAGAGGAAACCTCCTGGCTCCAACGTACCCCGTTAGCCTCTGCCTCGTTTCTCTGCTCTAAAGCAGACCGCCTTGAAAGAGACATCTGCACTCGCTGCCCTTCCTTCCTCTGCAGTCTGGCTGTTCCCACCCCTCCACTGGCACCGCCCTGGTCAAGATCTCCAGACACCCGTGTTTCCAAGGCCAGAGGTCGTGTCTCTGGGTGTCACGGTACTCAGCCTTCCATGAAGCACTCCTCCCAGTATCACTCCTCTGTCCTGAAACTCAGGCGCCAGAGCACCCACTCCCCAGGTGGGCCCACCTCACTGGCCATCCTCGGTCCTTTACTAGATGCTCCTCTCCTGCCAGGCCATGGCGGGCAGACATGCCCAAGGCTGTGTGCTCAGCTCCTCCCCACCCCTGCCCAGGAGCCCCATCTGGCCCATCCGCGTCCTCGCTGGCCTCCCTCCACTCTGTGCCCTCAGTGTCTCCACCGAGGTGTCTGATGGGCATCACAAACCAGGGGGGGAAAGTACGACTGATTCCCACCCCCAGGCGCACTGTCACTGCCCTTGTCCCTGCCACTTCCCCGCACCCCACTGATCAGGCAAAAGAATCTAGAAGCCACCCTCGATCTCTGCCTTTGGCTGTCGTCCCACTTCCACTCAATCAGGCCCGTGAGCTCTGGTTCTAATTCCCGTCCCCACTCGGGTCATCCTTCCCGCCGACCGAACCCGGCCACGCTCCATCTCATTCGGGACCCGCCTTGGGCAGCGGACCTAACTCGCCTCCCCGCGGCCTTCAAGGCTCTGCGCGACCTCCCTCCCGCAGCTCTGCCCTACGCTCGGGCCGTTGCCAGCGACCTGGCAGCGGGGATCCGGCCAGTCTCGCTCGGGGCTGCGCACCGGCCAGGGGACCGCCCGGAGCCTGCACCCCGGAAGCCGGAGGATTTAGGAAAAAGGGTGCAGGGTTCCTAGGGCCTGCGAGCTGGATCCCCCGGCGCCCGGCGCGCTCCGGGGAGCGTGGACGTGCAGAGGCGTTGGCCACGCCCCCTCTCCTTGGGCACGCCCCGTCCCCACCTGCCCTCCGTGGGCCGCAGGGCCACCTGGGAGATGTAGTTTCCACCCTCCGACTTCCCTTTCTCCGAGGCCGCTGCAGGCCCAGCCCGGACTGCGATTCCCAGAAACCTCCCCGGCCCGGAAGGAAGCCACGCCCCCCGCCGCCGGAGCCCGGATCCCTGCGGCCAGGGGAGCCAGCGAGTTCAAGGGCGGCTCTGAGACTCGCGCCGTCCCCGCTCACCTGGCTGGGCCCGTTCT